CCCAGGACGGGCGCGGCTGGAGGAGGGTGCCGCCGGGCGCCGCACTCTACACCCTGAAGCCGCGCGGCGGTGGCCGGCCAGAGGAGCCCGGCGGCGACCAGGCGGCCCAGCCAGCCAGGGGGGCGGCTTGCCAGGATTGGCGATCGAGCATCTCAGGAGCAACGAAAGGGGGGGGCTAAGGGGGGGACACGTCAAGCAGTGTCCTGATTTTCCTACTGAGGCTCATCAGCGCCTCCTCTAAGAACCTTCCGTGCCAAGTGCAACATGCTATTTCAGCATGTCTGGCTGAGACGAGACCTCGCGACTCCCCTGGATGGCTGCCAGCCGCGCAACTGTCGTCATGTTCGTGGGCCCTTGGGAGGCCCAGCGGAGTGGGGGTGGTCGCAGATCCAGTTGAGACCTCGCGGCTCCCATGGGAGCTGCCAACTGCCCAACTGTCGACACTAGTGGGACCCTGGGAGGCCCAGCGGAGTGGGGGTCTACGTGGACCCAGACGAGGTCTCGCGGCTCGGCTGCCTGGGGGCTGCTTACTGCAAAATTGCCGCTTCGTGGGCTCCTGGGAGGCCCAGCGGGGGGGGGGCGTGCAGATTCGGTCGAGACCTCGCGGCTCCCTGGGACCTGTGATGCTGCCAACTTTTCAATCGTCGCCACCCTTGTGCGTTGCTGGGAGGTCCAGTGGAGCAGAGGTGTGCGCAGATCCAGACGAGACGTCGCCGCTTCCCTGTGGGAGCTGCCATTCGCGCAACAGTCGCCACTTTCGTGGGCTCCTGGGAGGTCCAGCGGAGCGGAGGTGTACACAGATCCCCAGACGAGACCTCGGTGCCCCCTGGGGTGCGCTCGTCGTCATCATCCCGTTTGCGGTCTGAATTGCGAAAGTGCGTGCGTGAATGGGGGGCTCTGAATGTGGTTCGTCGATGTCTGGCGAAACGTTTGGGAGTGCTGCAGACCTCTCTGCTCCATGGAGCGATAGTTTTGGTAGCCGCCTCGCATTCAAAAAAGGGTATGGTACGTCTCGGTTATTCTTGAGCTTCGAGCTTCGAGCTTCGAGGTTTTGACGCTCTCGGGCCTCCGGGGGGCCCCTCGTCGGCACGGCTGGACCCGCCTCGAGACTCTGGCCAGAACGCATCCCGGGAGGTCCAGGGCCCAATCTTCAACGGCCTCCCCCGAGGGAGTGGGGCGAGACCGGGGAGAGGAGCTCAGGGAAACGGCTCTGCGCCACCGGCCGTCCGGACGGGTGTCGAGGTGGGCCGCCCTCGAGAGCGGCTGCTCGGGCTCTCCGCAGCCTCCTGGCTCAGAGGCATCGCACCTAATTAAAAGAGGCGGCGCCGCACGGTGGCCAGAGCAGCGGGCCATGCAGCAGGTTGTCGGTGGTTCGGCGATGGGGCCCTGCGGGGTGGGGGCCCCGACCCAGACATGCCTGGCCTGGCGCCTCGATTTCATCGAGGCGATCGTGTCGTCGTGGTTTCTGAAAATCATTTGGGATTCGGCGTCGGGCCTCGGGAAGGTCCACAGAGCGAGCCGGCGTGAAAAGCGGGCCTCGGGGAAGGGGTCGGCAGTCTCGGGGACCCCCGCGCCAAGGAAATCGAAGCGCCGCACGTTTTCATGTTTTCGGAAGGGAGGCTACACACAGTTCATTTCTAATTCTTCGAAAATTCTTGTTTTTTTTGAGGGCCAAGATCCTTTCATTGTTGTATCCTGGGCCTCGTCCTGGTTACTAGGGGGCCAGGAACAATTAGACACGAGCGCGATTAGAAATGAGCACGATTGGAAATGAACGACGTATACAGGAAAGGGATGCCAAGTAGAGCCTTCGAGGCCGCTCGTCGTCGGGGCCCCACCCTTCGGGGCGCATCCCTGAACCGCCACGGGTCGGAGAAGAAAACACGGCAGGAGCACGAGCCGTCGGAGAGCTCCGCGCGGATGTCTCTCGGAGCTGCGGTGGGCCCCACTGGTGGCGCCTCGGGTGGCGCCCCTGCGCCAGGGGGTTGCGTCGGGCATGTCCCTCCTACGGGGAGAATCTACAAAATTAGTAAAAAAATAGTCGGGGGACGATTTTTCAACTATTTCTGACCATGTTTGATTTTTTTCTTTTTCCCTACCTGGGCTCTGCCTAGAAGGGTTCTTACTCTCTAGCTTAAAGGGGCCGGGCAGTGCTACATGCCCCGGGCGGTTCCCCCAGTCCCCGCTCCGCGGTTCCCCCAGTCCCCTGGGAGCTTTAGCCTTAGCTTTAGCTTTAGCTTAGCTTTAGCTTTAGCTTTAGCTTTAGCTTAGCTTTAGCTTAGCTTTAGCTTAGCTTTAGCTTAGCTTTAGCTTAGCTTTAGCTTAGCTTCAGCTTAGTGTTAGCTTAGCTTTAGCGTAGTTTCAGCTTAGCTTTAACTTAGCTTCATCTTAGTGTTAACTTAGCTTTAGCTTAGTGTTAGCTTATATTTAGCTGAGCTTTAGCTTAACGTTAGCTTAGCTTTAGCTTAGCTTTAGCTTAGCTTTAGCTTAGCTTTATCTTAGCTTTAGCCTAGCTTTAGCTTAGCTTTAGCTTAGCTTATTTTTAGCTTAGCTTTAGCTTAGCTTCAGCTTAGCCTTAGCTTAGCCTTAGCTTAGCTTTAGCTTAGCTTCAGCTTAGCTTTAGCTTAGCTTTAGCTTAGCTGTAGCTTAGCTTCAGCTTAGCTTCAGCTTAGCTTTAGCTTAGCTTTAGCTTAGCTTCAGCTTAGCTTTAGCTTAGCTTCAGCTTAGCTTTATTTTAGCTTCAGATTAGCTTTAGCTTAGCTTTCGCTTAGCTTCAGCTTAGCTTTAGCTTAGCTATAGCTTGGCTTTAGCTTAGCTTTAGCTTAGCTTCAGCTTAGTGTTAGCTTAGCTTCAGCTTAGCTTTAGCTTAGCTTTAGCTTAGCTGCAGCTTAGTGTCAGCTTAGCTTTAGCTTAGTGTTAGCTTAGCTTTAGTTTAGCTTTAGCCTAGCTTTAGCTTAGCTTCAGCTTAGCCTTAGCTTAGCCTTAGCTTAGCTTTAGCTTAGCTTCAGCTTAGCTTTAGCTTAGCTTTAGCTTGGCTTTAGCTTAGCTTTAGCTGAACGTTAGCTTAGCTTTAGCTTAACGTTATCTTAGCTTTAGCTTAGCTTTAGCTTACCTATAGCTTAGCTTTAGCTTAGCTTTACCTTAGCTTTAGCTTAGCTTTAGCTTAGCTTTAGCTTAGCTTCAGCTTAGCTTCAGCTTAGCTTTAGCTTAGCTTTAGCTTAGCTTCAGCCTAGCTTTACTGTTACTGCTAATGCTGCTTTCCTAGGGGCTCCAACTCCTAGGTAGGGTCGCACTCGGATAATTTTTGTTTTTAAAAAACGATTTTTCGTTTTCCTTCCAAGATCCGCCTGCAGGAGGACATGCCCGACCGAACGCCCGGGAGCGGGGGCCCGGCGCCGAGCCCCGAGATCCGCGCGGGCCTCCGGCAGTTCCCGCTCCTGCCGCCGGCCGCCCCCCCAGAAGGTGAAGGACGACGCGACGCTGCGCGTGCTGATGGGGGGCAGCGGCGGCGCCGCTGCAGGCCCGGCGCCGCCGCCGAGCCAGCTCGCCGGCGACGACGCCACGCTGAGCGGGCTGCTGGCACAACCAGCTCGTTGCGTGATATATCCGGCCCCGAGGCAAGCCTCCGGGCCGGCTTGGGCGATGGCCGCGGCGATCCGGGTGGCCGCACATCGGGGCAAGCTTTTTGCCGAGGAGCGGCGTGAATCCCTTCTGGCCCCCCCCCGCCCCCCCCCCGTGTGCAATGCCGGCATGGCTCATAACCGACCGTCTTCCCACAGAGAGCTGTCAATTTGTGCCCAGCATGGGCAGTCTTTCCTCAGAGCGTGAATTACCTCCCCCGCTTTCGCTTCCAGGCAAAACCAAGTCATACCATACGCCTCCTCGTCAAGCCGCCTGACCAGTACATGCCGTGGTTTGGCATCGCTTGGTATCTCTTGGAAGCGAGGGTGGTCAAAAGCGAGGTAGGTTTGTTTTCCCCCTATTTCCTGGGGGGTCAGGGGTCGATCATCACGCAACCACCGGCGGCGCTGTCGCCGGCGGCGCGCGGAGCCGCGGGAGGCGCCGCGGCCGGGCCGCCAGTCCGCGAGCGCCAGGACGACGTGGCGCTCTCGCTGCTGCTGGGCGGCGGCGCCGAGGTGCGGCCCAGGGCGACGCCCGCGGGCGACGGCGGCGGAAGGGGGGCGCGCTCCAGGACTGGTCGCCGCGGAGGGAAGGGTCAGGCCGGAGGCCTGGAGAATGACACCAACGCCAACATCGGTGACGTGCCTCCACCGAGGGAAGGCGATCCCAATCTTGGTGATGGTGGTGATGTTCGGGCTTCCTTGGTTTGCGACAGAACACCACCAGCACCGACACCCAGGATCGTCTTCGCCCGGTGGGGGCAAACCCCATGTGTTGTTGGTCTGTCGGCTCCCAGAGGTGTTCCAGCCTCGGGGTGCGTTCTAGCAGCGGCGCCACGCTGAGGATGTTCTAGGGTTGCCCGGATCGTCCCAGACGGCCGCCGGAGAGCCGAGGTAGGATCCCGAAACCAAATGGAAACGCTAGGGGGGGATATGCTCAGGGGAGATGCGTTGACCCTCAATCGCCCACTGATCGCCGATCCGGGCCATGCCCGGGGACGTTCGGATTCGCTTGCCCCCGATCGCCGATCTGTTGGCGATGGATCGCCCATTCCAGGTCGATGACCCCCCCCGAGCCGATCCCGAAATTTCCCCCTCGGGTGTTAGGTTTTTCCTGGTTCTAGGGCTCTGCAGGGCTTGTCAAGAGACGGCTCGGGATGAGGAGCTGGTCCTGGGCGGAGGCCTCGGGTCGGTTGCCCGGTTCCCTCAGGCCCCCGTCATTCCGTGCCAAACCGGACGACGCCAGCCGTGCCTGCACGAGCTGCGCAGGTGACCATCAAGGGGCCCTGGGACACACACACAAACAGAGACACAGACAAGTTCCAGGATCTCCCACATTTCCCCATCTCTGTGGGATTCTCGTCTTCCCCCCCCTCCCCCCACACTTCCCACGTTTGCCCATGTTGTTCTGGGGATCGACGATGACTTGTGTCTGAGACCAGATCCGCGCCCTCGCGACATGGCCTCCGGGGCCCGCGGGTGCGCTCTCGCACGGAGGCGTGCCGCGCGGCGGCCCAGGGGCCGGGCCCGCGAGGCCGTGGGCACGAGCCCGTGCCTCGCACGCAGCTCTCGGCGCAGGCTGCCGCGCGTGCCGGTCAAAACGACTCGAAGGTCGGGACAACATCGGAGCGGGATAACTCGAAATCTCTGAGAGTCGGCGGGTTTGGAGGATGTATTGGGCGCCGCGGCCGCTCCAGAGCGTTCCGGAACGCTCTGAGAGCGCTCCGGAACGCTCTGGAGCGATTTGTCCCGATCCTAGCTCTGTTTTACCGGTGCGCGCGGGAGCGTGCGCCGAGCAGGCTTGGCACATGGCTCGACCAGGCGCAAGAGCGACCTTTCGCTGGAGTGACCCTTTGGTGCGGGCACAGACGGGGCCCTCGGACGGCTGGAAGCGGAGCGGCAGCGGCGGCTTGCGCGCGCCCAGGTTTGGTCTCCCCGCGGCCCCCCCGAAAAGCCGCGCCCCAAAAGGTCTCTCTTACCCAGGGTCACTCTTGCGTGTAGCCGAATGGCTGGCGTCGTCGTCTAGGAGCCCGCAGCAGCAGCACCAGGACGCCGCGGGCCCCGCCTCTCTGCCCGCGGCGGCGCAGGAGCGCTCGAAGAGCCCGCAGGAGCGTCGCGACGACGCCGTCTTTGCCGCCGTGCTGGGCGGCGCCGCGCCCGCCGCCGCCTCCCGCTCCAAGAGCCCGCAGGAGCAGCGCGACGACGCCGTCTTCGCCGCCGTGCTGGGCGGCGCCGCGCCCGCCGCCGCCTCCGCGGCGGCGCGGGAGCGCTCCAAGAGCCCCGCGCAGCTGCACGACGACGTCGTCCTCGCCGCGAGGCTGGACGGCGGCCTCGGCGGCAGGGGCGCCGCGGCGCCCGCCCCGCGGGCCGGGTCCGCGCGGTCGCGGTCGTGGGCGGTACAGACATGGGGCCTTCCTCCTCCTCTCCTCCTCCTCCTCCCTCTCCTCCTCCTCCTCCTCCCTCCTCATCCTCCTCCTCATCCTCCTCCTCCTTCCCTCCTCCTCCTTACCTCCTCCTCCTTAACCTCCCTCCTCCCTCCTCCTCCTCCTTCACTTCCCTCCTCCCTACTCCCTCCTCCCTCCCTCCTCCCTCCCTCCTCCTCCAAGGGATGGGGCCCCCGAGGGGGGGGGGGGGTCTGAGGGATGTGGCCCTGAGGGCTCTCGAGCTGAGCCTTCACTGCTTGGGGCCACTCGTCCTCTGGGCCCCGGCCCTCGGGGCCCCAGCTTTGGATTCAGTCGGGCCTCTCCCCCTACAGGGGGATTGTCGACGAAAACTAAAAAATTCACCAAAAATACACCCCAGAGGTTTTTTTACCTAACAGCGAAGACTGATAGGTTTCTAATGGGCTAAATAGAGAGCAGCAGATGACTCCACAGGGGGGTCTGGGCGGGTGCCGGACAGGGTGCCGCAGAAGTCGTTTTAAGCCAACAGTCACACACTTCGTGCTCTTCGACCTCCCAGAACTCCATTCCCGGGCTACATTCTGAATGCCCGGAGCCAACTGTAGGCCACTTCGTGCTCTTCGACTTCCCAGAACTCCATTCCCGGGCCACATTTTGAATGCCCGGAGCCAACTGTAGGCCACTTCGTGGTCTTCGAGTCCCCAGAACTCCATTCCCGGGCCACATTTTGAATGCCCGGAGCCAACTGTAGGCCACTTCGTGCTCTTCGAGTTCTCAGAATTCAATTCCCGGGCCACATTTTGAATGCCCGGAGCCAACTGTAGGCCACTTCGTGCTCTTCGAGTTCCCAGAACTCCATTCCCGGGCCACATTTTGAATGCCCGTAGCCAACTGAGGCTGATGCAGGCTGCTGCTGAGGCAGGCTGAGGCTGAGGCTGAGGCAGGCTGAGGCTGAGGCAGGCTGAGGCTGAGGCTGAGGTTGAGGCTGAGGCTGAGGCTGAGACAGGCTGAGGCAGACGCTGAGGCAGGCTGATGCTGAGGCAGGCTGAGGCTGAGGCTGAGGCTGATGCAGGCTGAGGCCGAGGCTGAGGAAAAGGTTGAGGCTGAGGCTAAGGTTGAGGCTGAGACTGAAGCAGGCTGAGGCCGAGGCTGAGGCAGGCTGAGGCTGAGGCTTAGGCAAGCTGATACTGAGGCAGACTGAGGCTGAGGCTGAGGCAGGCTGAGGCTGAGGCAGGCTGAGGCTGAGGCAGGCTGAGGCAGGCTGAGGCAGGCTGAGGCTGAGGCTGAGGCTGAGGCTGAGGCTGAGGATGAGGCAGGCTGAGGCAGACGCTGAGGCAGGCTGAGGCTGAGGCTGAGGCAGGCTGTGGCTGAGGCTGAGGCTGATGGCTGAGGCTGAGGCTGAGGCAGGCTGAGGCTGAGGCTGAGGCTGAGGCTGTGGCAGGCTGAGGCTGAGGCTGAGGCAGGCTGAGGCTGAGGCAGGCTGAGGCTGAGGCAGGCTGAGGCTGAGGCTGAGGCTGATGCAGGCTGAGGCTGAGGCAGGCTGAGGCTGAGGCTGAGGCTGAGGCTGAGGCTGAGGCTGAGGCAGGGCTGAGGCTGAAGGCAGACTGAGGCTGAGGCTGAAGCAGGCTGAGGCTGAGGCCGAGGCAGGCTGATGCTGAGGCTGAGGCAGGCTGATGCTGAGGAAAAGGTTGAGGCTGAGGCTGAGGCAGGCTGAGGCAGACGCTGAGGCAGGCTGAGGCTGAGGCTGAGGCAGGCTGATGCGGAGGCAGGCTGAGGCTGAGGCTGAGGCTGAGGCTGAGGCTGATGCAGGCTGAGGCTGAGGCAGGCTGAGGCTGAGGCCGAGGCTGAAGGCAGGCTGTGGCTGAGGCTGAGGCTGAAGCAGGCTGAGGCTGTGGCTGAGGCAGGCTGAGGCTGAGGCTGAGGCAGGCTGATACTGAGGCAGGCTGAGGCTGAGGCTGTGACTGTGACTGCCGTTGCCACTGCGACTGTCATCGCGACTGCGACTGCGACTGCGAGAACAGGAGAATTCTACAACTGGATTCTCATCTGGATCTTAAGGGGAATGCTTCCATATATGCTTCTACACATCGCTGTTAGGTTGCTTTGCCGGGATAATTTTTGTATAAAAAGATAGTCCTCAGGCATTTTTTTGATTACCTAACAGCTTGTTCTGATAGGTTTCTAGTGGTGTCAAAAGAGAGCAGCAGATGACTCCACAGGGGGGTCTGGGCGGGTGCCGGACAGGGTGCCGCAGAAGTCGTTTTAAGCCAACAGTCACACACTTCGCGCTCTTCGACCTCCCAGAACTCCATTCCCGGGCCACATTCTGAATGCCCGGAGCCAACTGTAGGCCACTTCGTGCTTCTTCGACTTCCCAGAGAACTCATTCCCGGGCCACTTTTTGAAATTGCCCGGAGCCTACTGTAGGCATCGTCGTTGGTCTTCGGAGTCGCCGTAGTCGCCAGAACTCCATTCCGGGCCACATTTTGAATGCCCGGAGCCAAACTGATAAGGCCACTTCGTGCTCTTCGACCTCCCAGAACTCCTTCCCGGGCCGATTTTGGATGCCCGGAGCAAACTGTAGGCCATTTTCGTGGTCTTCGGAGCTTCCAGAACTCCATTCAGGGCCAGCATTCTGAATGCCGGAGCAACTGTAGGCCACTTCGTGGTCTTCGAAAGTTCCCAGAGAACTCCATTCCTGGGCATTATTTTGAATGCTCGGAGCAACTGTAGGCCATTTAACTGTAGGCCATTCGTGTTCTTCGAGTTGAGTTTCCAGAACTCATTTCCCGGGCCACCATTATGAATGCTGAGGCTGAGGCAGGCTGAGGCTGAGGCAGGCTGAGGCTGAGGCCGAGGCTGAAGGCAGACTGAGGCTGAGGCTGAAGCAGGCTGAGGCTGAGGCTGAGGCAGGCTGAGGCTGAGGCAGGCTGAGGCTGAGGCAGGCTGAGGCTGAGGCTGTGTCTGTGACTGCCGTTGCCATTGCGACTGTCATCGCGAATGCGACTACGACTGCGAGAACAGCACAATTCTACAACTGGATTCTCATCTGAATCTTAAGGGGAATGCTTCCAGATATGCTCCTACACATCGCTGTTAGGTTGCTTTGCCGGGATAATTTTTTACCAAACAGCTCTTGCTGATAGGTTTCTAGTGGTCTCAAAAGAGAGCATCATGACTCCTCAGGGGGGTCTGGGCGGGACCCGGACAGGCTGCCGCCGAAGCCGAAATCGCTTAGGACATCCTCGCAAAATCGCTCTTGGTGCTCCCGGAACTCCATTCCCGGGCCACATTTTGGATGCCCGGAGCCAACTGTAGGCCACTTCGTGCTCTTCGACTTCCCAGAACTCCTTTCCCGGGCCACATTTTGGATGCCCGGAGCCAACTGTAGGCCACTTCGTGCTCTTCGATTTCCCAGAACTCCATTCCCGGGCCACATTTTGGATGCCCGGAGCCAACTGTAGGCCACTTCGTGCTCTTCGATTTCCCAGAACTCCATTCCCGGGCCACATTTTGGATGCCCGGAGCCAACTGTAGGCCACATCGTGCTCTTCGAGTTCCCAGAACTCCATTCCCGGGCCACATTTTGAATGCCCGGAGCCAGGTGAGATGCTGCGGCTCGAGGGGCTTGAGGCTGAGAAGGCTGAGCTGAGGCGAGGCTGAAGCAGACTGAGCTGAGGCTGAAGCAGCTGAGGCTGAGGCTGAGGCGGGCTGAGGCTGAGGTGAGGCAGGCTGATGCTGAGGCGAGGCTCGAGGCTGAGGCTGAGGCTGATGCAGGTGAGGCTGAGGCAGGCTGAGGCTTGAGGCGAGGCCAAGGCCGACTGAGGTGAGCTGAAGCAGGCTGTGGCTGGAGCTGAGGCAGGTGAGGCTGAGGCAGGCTGAGGCTGAGGCTGAGGCAGGCTGAGGCTGAGGCTGTGACTGCGACTGCCGTTGCCGCTGCGACTGTCATCGCGAATGCGACTACGACTGTGAGAACAGCAGAATTCTACAACTGGATTTTCATCTGAATCTTAAGGGGAATGCTTTCAGATATGCTTCTACACATCGCTGTTAGGTTGCTTTGCCGGGATATTTGTTTGATTTATTGTATGGTATTTTTTATTCTTCGTCGAAAGCCCCCCTGTAGGGGGACAGGCCCGACTTAAGCTTTGGACCGCCGAGGTCGAAGAGCCCGCAGCAGCAGCAGTGGGCCGACGACGCCAGCCTAGCAGCGGCGTTAGACGGCCGCACGGGCGGGGCGCCGGCCTCAGGCTGGGGCCGGACGAAAGGGGGAGATGGGGAAAGGGGCTTGGCATCGCTCGGACGTGTGCATTTTTCCTTCGGCGAGGACCATCGAGGAGCATCCTTGACAATTTGGCGAAAAACCACGCACGAGACCAACAAAAAAACACACAGGAAATGGACGTCCGAGCGATGGCCAGGGGGGGGGGGTGGTACGAAATTTGCTGCATGCAGCTGGTTTCGGCCTCACCGAGGGGCCCATTCCTCGATGCATGGGCGCCTCCCGGCGCTGGGAGGCGCCGGGAAGATCACCTACGTGAGCTGATTCCCACCCCCCCCCCTTTGCTATCCCCCCCTTTCGCCCGACCCGAGAGGCGGCGACGAAGTGGCGCTGGCGCGGCAGCTCGAGCTTCAGGCCTCTGCGAGCGCTATCGAAAACCCTGCCCCTGCGTGTCCACTCGTCGCTGGGGCACAGGACACCCCACTTGGCTGCAGGCGTCCTTGTCATTCTGAGCCCCGCCCAGTTTTTCAGGCACCTGACCCGCGGGGGCCGGGGCTCAGACGTGGCTGCCCCAGGCCGCCGAGCGCGTGGACGAGGAGTCCGAGGACGTGCTGCGGAGGATGAGGGCGGAGAAGGAGGAGCGCCTGAGGATCACCACCCACCAAACCACCCCAACCCAACCCGACGGCTTCAATTTGCCCTCCATTTCCAGTTGGGGGGGGTCGGGGAACATCGAAAAAACACATATGGAACCCGTACCCCCCCCAACCCGAAATTGGGGTCTTCGGGTTGGGTTGGGGTGGTCTGGTAGGTAGTCAGAGGAGGCGCAGGTACGACCAGTCTCTGCAGCAGATGCTCCAGCCGCAGGCCGCCGGAGGCGAGGCCGCCAGGCCCGCGGCCGCGCTGCAGGCGCCGCCGCGGCTGCCCGCGCCGACGCGGCGCCTGCGCCGGCCGCCGGTCGTGCACCTGCCCGCGCGCGAGCTGCAGCCCGGCTCGCTGAGCTACTTTGCCGCCATGCGGCGGCGCGTGGAGAGCGGCCCTTCGTCGAACGACGCGAAGATCGGGACAATATCGGAGCGGGATACCTCGAAGTCTCTGAGAGTCGGCGGGTTTGGAGGATGTATTGGGCGCCGCGGCCGCTCCAGAGCGTCCCGGAACGCTCTGAAAGGGCTGCGGAACGCTCTGGAGCGATTTATCCCGATCTTAGCCTTGTTTTACCCTTAGCCGGGGTGGCCTCCTCTGGTCCCAGGCACGCTCGCGTCGCCACAGGGGAGCAGGACGGGAGGCGTTTCGTTGGCTGCCGGTTCCTGGGGGGGGGGGCTCGCTGGGTTTGGGGATTGCCGCGAGATGGCTCAGCACGAAGGCCCGTTCCCCAGAAATGGGGTCCAGACCTCAGGGGGTCCGCGTTCTGGAGACGTCATGGCATCGAGGGTCTGCTCAGTTGCCTCGATACGCGCGTTTTGAAACGCAACACGTCCCGTGTTCAAGACGTCCGTGTCGATACGTTGCGTGTTGGCTCCACGTATTGGCCCAGACCCACGTTTCAGTCTACGTGTTGAGCTCCGTATCCATGCACTGCGTGTTGCGCGCTGCGTATCGGGGCAGCTGAGAGGGCCTGGAGTGCGGACTCACGAGGGCCCCCCCCCCCAGCACCGGCGTGCGCGCCCCGAGGCTCTGCGAGGTTGCGCCTCCCAGAAGTCCAACGCCTGGACCCGTGCCCTAAGGCCGGCTCTTCACCGTCCCGGGCCCCAGCGTGGGCCCCTGGAGGCCGAAAGTCGTCGGGGGCGGCAAAGAGGGGGGTGATGACTAGGGGGGGGTTGGATATCACGGCGTGGGCCATGAGATCTCCACAGATTTCATGGCGCCTCTTCTTGTTTCATTGCGTCCCTGCCCCCCCCGCTGGGCCGCGCAAATGCCGCTGGTCATGATTTGCACCCCCCCCTCTTGGACACCCCCCTCTTGGCTGATCCCGAAGTCGCGAGACACCCTCAGTTGTGTTGTTGTTTCGCGACGCGAGGTGGTCTGGGACCAAAGTCTCGCAGGCCCAGAGGTTGACACCAACACCAATATCGGCGGTGTGCCTCCACCGAGGGAAGAAGATCCCGCTCTCGGTGATGGTGGTCATATTCTGACTTCCAGGGTGACCGAAACATTACCACGAGCACCGAAATCTAGGAGCAGCTTACCCTGCGGAGGCACCCCCCTGTGTTGGTGTTGGCGCCCATTTCCAGGCCTCCAAGAGGCCGCTCCTTGCCCAGGGTTAGGATGTTCCAACCTACTTTAGCCTTGACCACAAATAATTTCGAACGCCAGAGAAGCACCCCAAAAACTCAAGGTTTTCACGTGCCGGGCTCTGGGAGACGCTCCTTCGACACTCTGTCGACACTCTTTCGACACTCTTTCGACACTTTTTCTGGGTGCTCGTAATTCTGTCTGGGATGTGGCCCTTAAGTACGATGGGGGCAACACGAGCCCAGGGCCGCTCCTGCGCGCGGCCGAGCCATCGGCGATGCGACGTCGGTGCGCCACCTGTGCCGGCAGGCCCAGGTCTGCGACGAGCGGTTCTCAGGAGGGGACAAAAACACACAGACACAATTAATCGTCGATTCCAAAGAAAATATGGGAAAATATGGGAAGTGGGGGGGAAGACAAAAACCAAGAAAATATAGGAAAATATGGGGAATCCTTTTATTTGTGTGTATTTATTTGTGTGTCCTGGGGCCCCTTCAGGTTCCTGGTGAACGGCCGGGGTGAGCGCGGCAGGGCCCCGCTGCACCACGCCGCGTTCGCCGGGGACGCGGAGGTGGCGGACGTGCTGCTCCAGGCCGGGGCCGACCCGCTGGTGCCTCGTGGGCGAGAAGCACACCTCGGCGGCGACGACCGGGGGCGAATAGCCCATGGGGCGGGCAGCACACGTGTTCGCCCGGGAGCCTTCTCGAAGACATGGAGCATCGGCGCACCCGAGTACATGTATTGCTCCCCCCTGGGCGATTCGCCCCTATCGTCGCCCCTGAATTTTTGGGGCGTTCCAAAGAGGGCCATGCCTTCGAGGACCGAAGGAGTTGTCATCGCTTCTTGGGCGGAAGGCGGCGGAAGGGCGGCGGAAGTAAAACGAGGCCGCCTCCGCCGGCGGAAGCCGGCGGAAGCCTGCGGAAGTTGGCGGAAGCTCAGCGGGAGGCGGTGGAAGTACGAGATGTGCTTTCAAGGGATGACAACGTTTTCGGGTCCAGGGTTTCCGAAATCGCCCATGCCCGTATCCGCGGCCTGGGGCGTTTTTGTTGCGGATGCCCACCGCGGAGCGTATCCGTGCGGCCGCGTGTCCGCGGGATCGCGCCCCGGAATCCAGACAGGCGTGCATTCGATCGGGGAAACGAAAGACTCGAGTGCGCGGGAACTCAGGTTTGCCGACGTTTTTTGACGAGCGTGTCCTGGAATTTGACGATCTAATTTTCGTGGGATGTCTGCAGCGGGAGCTCGCGTCAGTTTTCAGATTGGGTCTCGTCATTTTCATGATGGCCCCGGCAGGCCAACCCGAGTTCCCGAACCCGAGTCTTACGACTCCCCGATTCAGGAGAGGAAAAGCCACCCCGACATCCGTCATTGGCTTTCATTAAGCGGCCTTGGGTGTTTACTAAACAGCCCTGCCCTGTCAGATTCCCTTTCTGTGGATGAGCTCACTGCACGGCGTCGCTTGTCGGGGTGATTATTCTGCGGTGTTTCCTTTGCTTTCTACGGATGTGGATCACGGTTCGGCGGCGAGCGAGGGGGAGACATGAAACGGAGGAGGCCTTCCCAGAAGGCGGTGGGACTTCTCAGAAGCCCTCGCGCCTTCTGAGCAGTGTTTGCCTGTCTTCGGGGAGTGCTCAGAAAATAGGGGAACAAAAAGTGGCATAGACATAACAACTCGGAAATCCGCGCGGACCTCCGAGCTGTTGTGTTTATGCCACTTGTTGTTCCCTTATTCTGAGGAGACCCGCCCCTTTCTCACCTTCCCTCCCCCCCCTCGCTCGCCACCTGCTCTGCGCGGGACAATCCTCGCCCCCCCCCCTTGACTCCCCGGGGGGGGGGGGATGGGGGGCTGGGCCGTGCCGACGGAGGGGCGAGGGGGTGGGTTGGGGGGGAGGAACGGACGTGGAGGAGGAGGAAAGGAGAGGAGGAGGAGGAGGAGGAGGAGGAGGAGGAGGAGGAGGAGGAGGAGGAGGGGGACGAGGAGGGGGACGAGGATGGCGGGGGGCGGGACTGGGCAAGCTCAGTTGGAAGGTTGATCATCCCCCCTGATAAATACCCCATACAGTCGGCCCTGATTAGTAGGTCGACCCTGCCAGCTCAAGGGTACCCTTGTGTCCTGTACCTCGCGACACGTGCCTTCTCACACTCCTATGGCGATGTGGCCTTCGGAAGGGTCTTGCGCCCTCTCGCGTGTCCTCTGCAATCAAGTCCGACTGTACATTGTAACGGTCGGCGCCCGCGAGGTACGGGACGACGACGGCCGCACCCCGCTGCACGTGGCAGCCTCCAGGGGCTCCGTCCAGGTCGCGCGCCTGCTGGTCGGCTACTGCGTCTACGGGCTGCGGGCGGCCTGCCTCGCCGGGTTCCGGGCCGTCAGGTTCCGCGGCGACCTCGGCGAGGATGCGGGCGACCACCAGGGGCGCTGCTGTGCCGGGGGTGTGCTTTGCGGGATCGAAAACGGGTCCCGCCAGGACGAAAACGGGGTCCAGACCTCTTGGGGTCGACGTTGTGACAAAATCACGACGTCGGGGGTCTGGGATGGGCGCTGTTGCGCCGGGGTGTGCTTTTGCGATCGGCGCCGTTGGGGCTTTGGGGGTCACCACGTTGCGCCAAAGAATCGCCGAGCCCTCGTCGGGGCGCAGCAGAGATCGGTGTCGAGGTCATCGCCCGCCCCCCCCCTCGGAGGCGGGTTGCAGACCACATCCCTGGCAAACCACACCCTGCGGAGTCGCCGAGAGGAGGAGGGCGCCGAGTTTGAGACAGAGGCTGCGCGCGACGCGCTGGCGGGCTACCTGCGCCAGCTCGAGGACCAGCGGGTGAATGTCCTGCTCGCGGAGGACGCCTGGGACTTCACGCCCGTCCACTACGCGCTGCACGACGCCTACCACGGCTGCCTCTCGATCCTCCAGCTGCTGCTTGGCAGCCTCTACGAGTTCGGCGACACCGGCAGGACCGACGGGGTGATGTCGGATCCGCGCTTCCAGCCGGGCTGCAACGGGGGCTTCACGCTGGTGTCCATGCTGTCTGCCTGCATGCCGAAGCACCAGGTGGAGGAGATCCACCGGGAGCACCGGCGCCGGTCGCAGGACCTGAGGAACCAGCTCGTGAACCAGCCCGACCCGTACGGCATGACCCCCCTGCACCTCGCCGCCCTCGAGGGGAACTACCGCGCAGTCCCCGTCCTCCTTGCGAGCGGGGCAGACGCCGCGGCGAAGGTGCAGATCTCCATCCCAGGGCCAGAGTTTCCGGAGGAAGCCCAGGATCGAGGATGAACGCAGGCATAAACATACGCTTTCGGAGGTCCGCGCGGACCTCCGAGAGTTATGTCGGTGCGCCGTATGTTTTGTTCTTGTACAGGAGGTCTGCGAATACAGTTGAGACAACGGCGGATATCCCGCCCAGCCCAAACCCACTCAAAATGCGGCCCCCGGACCGTAGAGACAGGGTCCAGGATCCATCCTCCTCGAGTCCTCCTCCGAAATACGCACCAGAACAGAGCCAAAAGGCGGAGGGTCCGGCGTGGTCTCTCCTCGGCCTGGCATGGCGTCATGGAAGGCGTGCCTGGCTCTGGCCCTCCTCGGAGGGTACGTTGTTTCGGTGTGTCACTCCCAGGGTCCATTCTGGCCCGTCCTTTGAGGCGCACCCAGCCGTGGCGACGAGAAGCCTGCACCGAGGCCCACGAGGGACGGAGAGCGCCTGGCATGGCCGCCGCCGTCTCGACTTGGCTTCCCGCCGACAGGAGGTCTGCGAGTACACCGCGCTTGACGGGGGAAGACGATGTCAGATTTTGACGGTGGTAATATTTCGGCCGCCCAAGAAGCCCGAATATTGCCACCGTCACCGAGATCCGGACCATCTTCCCTCGGTGCAAACGGCTGCCGACATTGGTGTTGGTGCCAACCTCCGAGCCTCCCAGGGGGGCCCAGCGCCGATGCAAGAACTCCGCGCGGACCCCCGACTTAGTTGATGCTGACGCCGTTTGGTCTTGTCCAACAGGAGGCGTGCGAGGACACCAGCCAACCGGCCCACCCTCCCAGGTGGGGATCTGCCGCCCCAGGCCACGCCAGCGGGGGTGGGGATCGGCCCAGCGATGCCCACAGGAGGTCTGCGAGTACACCGCCTTCGACCTCTCCGCCGACTCCGCCACGCGCCAGGCGCTGCACTCGCTGCACGGGCGCGCCGGCAGGGCGGTGCCCGTCGAGGTGCAGGCGCGGTCCCTGCTGGCGCTGGTGGCGGGCAACTGCGAGAGCGTCAACCGCGAGCACGGGCACAGCTGAAGAGGGCAGATCGGCAGGAGCATCAATCTCCGGGGCTTCCGAGGAGGGCGCGCTGAGGGGGCTGGCCCTCGTGGCTGGAGGCAGGTGGCTCGAACAAATTCTGCGTTCGCACCCCCGGGAGGGTCCTGGGAGGGGTCTAGGGATAGACTTTGAGCTGCCGCTGTCTCAACTCGCCCAGAATCCATGAGATCCTCGCGTCGCATTCTTGTCGCCACGGGCCATTCTGCTCCCCTTTCGGGCCCACCCTTACGGATCGATCTGGCTCCAAAAATACAGCAGAAAGATGGGGTCCAGGGCTCCGGTCGTGTTTTTTCGCGGTGTTGCAATCTTTCGCAACGTTGGATCACGGGGAAATTTTCAGAGGTCCGCGCGCAGTTCTTGGATCGGCGCTGGGCCCCCTGGCGGCGCCTCCGGCGCCGCCCCGGAGGGCCTCAAGTTGTGTGGCGACCACACCGTGTGGCGAGTGAGTGGGATTCAGGGTAGCCGCATGGTTTTGGGACTCAGACCGTGGTCGAGGTGGTCCTCAAAAACGGTGCGGCGACGGACCCTGCGGTGAGGTCGTTGGCGATTCCAAGCCAACGCATGGCCTGTCGCCGCACCGTTTTGGGACCTCCAAGCCAGGGAAAGGAGGCCCAGCCCCGATCCAAGAGGTCCGCGCAGACCTCCGAGAGTTTTTATGTTTCTGCCGGTTGCTCTTCTTCTGCGCATGGCACGCACGCCGCTCCACCTGGCCACCTTCAGCGCCATCGCGGCCCCTGGCCAGGGGGGAGCAGATGGCTTGGGCTGTCCAGCACGGCGTCGGACGAGGTGGAGGGTTGGTCACCACCCACCAAACGATCCCAACCCAACCCGAAGGCCTCCATTTCCCCTCCATTTCCAGTGGGGGGGGAGTCGGGGAACGTAGGACAAACACATGGAACCCGTACCCCCCCTCAACCCGAAGTTCGGGTCAAATTCGGGTCTTCGGGTTGGATTGGGGTGGCCTGGTAGGGAGTTGGGGATGGGGGGGTGACGAGAAGTCCGCCGCAGGCAGCTGCCTGTGGCCCTGCCGCCGGGCGCTCTCCGCGAGATATATATCTGTGGACGTCGAGTAATGGAGAGGAAGCATGCTGCCAAATAATTTCCAGATGTCTACTCCTCCTCCTCCTCCTCCTCCTCCTCCTCCTGCTCCTCCTCCCCCTCCTCCTCCTCCTCCTCCTCCTCCTCCTCCTCCTCCCGCTCCCGCATTCACAAGGGTGAAGCTAAGTTACAGAACCCCCAACAGTGACACGTCGATTAGTGAATTGTCCGTTTTCGGTTCTCGAGAGGGCGCCGTGGCCGTTATTTTCCAGGCTTGCGCCCGCCAGGTCTGGGCCTCAGGTCGTTTTCACGAAACCACGTTTTGCTAAAGGGGGGTCTGTCCATCCCCGAGAGGAAGCGTGCTGCCAAATCATTTCCAGATGTCTAAAACATGTTCCAAACTCGGATTCACAAGGGCGAAGCGAAGTTAGACTCCCCACATCCCCCTCTTCTCTTCTTGGCCTCGCGCGCACCGCATGCCTGCTGCCGTCTTGGGCTCAAGGGTGGGACCGCTTGTGTGGCAGTCTGTGGCAGCTGCCGCTGCCCCGCAAGGTGCCGCCGCACTGTGGGACACGTACTGGAGAGTCTTCGACTCCATCACCCAGGCTACGGACAGGCACAATTGGGACATGATGGTTGCCCTCAGCAGAGACAGGGGGTGTAGCCAGAGACACCCAGACGGGGCGCCCCGCGGGAAGTGGTGACCGCCATAGCTGAGGCCCGCGCGGCCGGCGTCAACCTCCAGTCCGTCGCGGATTCGGTGGTGCAACAACGATTCCTGTGCAAAACAGTACCGTCTACGCTGCTGACATACGCGTCGCACTTGCGTATGATTGCGTGGGCAAGCGAATTGTTAGGGGAACCCCCGCTGGGGTGCTCGGTCCAGCACGTTCGTAGAGTTGCTGCAGTCTGGGCATGTGCCTCCACACAGCGTGGGTGGCTGAGCGCGTGGGCCCTGGCGCACCAGGTTGCCGGCGTTCCCTGGCAAGGCGATCAGGACGTCATCTTGCGCGGGATTCGCTTGGGCACGGCCAAAAGCCGGGCCCCCCGGCTACCCCGGCACCGCGTAGATCGACTGCTGTTGCGGCGGCTGCTCCGCTTTGCGCTGTCGCGCCAACGTAAGCGGTGGTGCGTCATTGCAGCGCTTGCCTATAATTTCCTGTTGCGGATGCCATCCGAGCTGTTTGCGCAGTGCACGCGCGCTCGCGTGCAGGTACAAGGCGGTCGGTTCGTGTACGGGCCGACTCGCCGGAAGCAGCGGGTCGACTTGTGCGCTGTTTTCGCCTCTTGTATATGCGGAGTCGATGAAGGCATCTGCCTGCGCACGTGGCTACCCGTTCGGGATGAACTCCTCAGGTTCGGGGGCCGCCCGCTTGGCGGTTACACCCCTGAGACATGGACAGCCGAGCTCCGTAGTCATTTGCGGGCGGTCGGGGTCGCTAACCCCGAAGAGTGGTTTGGCCACGACGTCCGGCGAGGCGCGGCTGCGGACGTTTTCGCCGCTTCGGGCGTGGAAACCATGCTCGCAAGAGGTGGTTGGCGGTCGGTGGCTTCAGCCCGGCCGTACGTGTCGGGCGACGAGGTGGCCGCTGGCCTGCTGGCGCAGGGCGTCGTCGACAATTCTGGCCCTGAGAATTAGGCACCGCAGTGCCTCGTTCCTGTGCCGCTCCCCCCTTTTCCTTCATTGGCATTGGGGCCGGGAGCGGCTTCGGAACCTCGGTGCTTGAGCCAATGGAAAAGAAGAGGGAAGGGAGGGGGAGCTAACTCGGATTCACAAGGGTGATGCTAAGTTAGTCGCCCCACATCCCCGTCCTCTCTTCTTAGCCTCGCGCGCAGCGCATGCCTGCTGCCGTCTTGGGCTCAAGGGTGGGGCCGCTTGTCCCGCCCGCCCGCCCCACTTTTCCACTTGTTTGTTGCGGCGCCGCTGCGCCTCCTGTCCTAGCTGTCTGCCGCTTCGGCCCCGCGCTGGGGGCCGGGAGCTGCCTCGGAACCCTGGTGCTTGAGCCAATGAAAAAGAGGAGGGAAGGGAGGGGGAGCTAAGATGTTTTAAACAAGTAAAAACATGAATGACGCTATACATATATATATATATATATATTCAACACATGTTTGGTTCAATGATCGTATTGTTAGAGTGTCCAGTGTCATGTCATCCACAAAAATATATACACGGACTGCTCTGGCGCTGGGAGGCGCGGGGGGAACAGGCCGGGTGAATTGGTTTGCTGACCCAGACACCCGACGTCTTGATTTTTTCGATGCTGGGCTCCCATGGCAGAAGTCTAAGTCTCTCCCGGCCTATTCCCGCAGGGCCGGCTTTTCATCCCGAGTGGGTTGTGACTGTCTTGGAGTCCTTCGAGGCATTCCGGAGGCGGAAAACGACGAAGGACCTTCGTCCTTATTTTTTGTCGAGGCGCCGCATATTTGGTCATACCTCGGGTCGTTGGCGGCTGTTCGGGACGATCCAGGCACCCCTGGAACGCTCGGCGAGGCGCAGCCGCTGGAAGGCAGCCCGAGGCTGGAAAACCGCCAGGCACCGAAGAAGACGTCCGAGATCCTCGAACCTCGAACCCCTTCCTCCCTGACTCCCTCCCTTCGAAGAAGAAAAACATACACTTTTTACGGACCGCGCGGATTTCTTGGATCTGCGCTGCACCTCCCTCCCTGGCGCGCGGAGCGCGCATCCGCGCGGCTGGTCAACAGTTTATGCTTTTGCTGTTTTTTCTCGCTCCATGCCTCCCACCCTTGGAGGTGTCAGGGGACCGATTTTGAGCGGATTTGCCTTTATATCCCCTTGTCTTGAAGATGTCCTCGGGGCCCATCCCATTCGGACCCCCCGGCCGCGACCAATTCACTCCCTCCCCCTCGTCCGACCCCGGCCAGCGCCGGTGCTGGAGCAGTTGCTGCGGGATCGCCCCGAGTGCGATCCGCTGGTGGCCGACGCGGACGGCTGGACGCCGCTGCACTACGCTTGCGCGCACGGGCGCGCGCCCGAGCTCCTGCTGCTGGTGGAGCGGGCCCAGCGCCTGCACGGCCCTCGGGGGCAACGACTGGCGGGGGGGCGGGATGCTCAGATGATGCTCCTCCTCCTCCTCCTCCTCCTCCTCCTCCTCCTCCTCCTCCTCCTCCTCCTCCGCCTCTTCCTCCTCCTCCTCCTCCTCCTCCTCCTCCTCGTCCTCCTCGTCGTCGTCGTCCTCCTCCTCCTCCTCTTTCTCCTCCTCCTCCTCCTCCTCCTTCTCCCTCCAAGCAGGGGGCGTTTTTTGTTCCCAGCGCAGTGCTTGCACTCGGTGCTCTTACTTTTGTTCTGAGGAACCAAGCTGGTGTGGCGGTCTGGTGGCCCTGTTGTCGCCGTCGCCGCCCCGTCGCCGCCTCGTCGCCGCCTGTGGTCTGGGCCAGAGTGCCGATCTGGCGGCTATGTTGTCGCGGTTTCGGTTCGGTTTCGGACCCCTGCGATTTAAGGAATTCTGCTAATTCGGCGTGATACGACGGTGGCGGCGGCGCTGATGATTGGATGATGTTTTTTTTGTTGCCGCGGCGGCGTGGACCCGCTGTTCAACCCCAGGCATGGGTGGCCCCATTCTCACGCCATGCACGCGCGAGCCCAGCATGTAGTTCGCATCACAGGCGCTGCCGAGCCTCGAGATTATTTGCTGCCTCAGGACCCGAGGCGCCGCGTCAGATACCCCCAGCCAGTGTGACCTCCGCCACGTGGGAAAGGAACGTCTTCGTCGGCAGGGAGTAGGTGTGGCCGCCATCGACCGAATGCGTCTTCGTGACGGCCTTCCTGTACTGGAACTCCGTCACCCAGCGGGCCCACTTCCGCCTATCCGAGGTAGTCGGCAGGCGGCCGCCAAGGCGCTTCTTGAGCCACTTCTTGAGGACCGACCAGCGGTTCTCGATGTGGTTCGTTGTGAAGCCGCGCTGGTTCTTCACCTCTCCCTTCGAGTGGACGACGATTTCGTGCTTCAAGTCCCTGTCCGACCATCCATTCCTGTCCCTGATGTGCTTGATGGCAGCGATCGTGGCGCGCCACCCGTCCGTGGCGACGACCATGCCCTTGCGAAGGCCCAGCGTGTCGAAGTTCGTCACCATCTCTTGCTTACCGCGGGGGCGTCCGTCGAAAGCGTCCTCTGGGTGCTCCAGGACTCGGAAGACGAAGTTCTCTGGGCTGCCCTGCACGACCGCGCCCCGCAGCCACACTTTGTCCTTCTTGGGGCGGGTGCCTGGCGCGAGGCGGCTGACCTTGGACTTGTTCGAGAAGACTTCGTCGGCCTGCACGATGAACTTGGACGGCTTCTTCTTGGAGATCGTCTTTTTCACGCCCCTCTTGCCCTTGGCCTTGGCACGCTTCTTGGAGTCCTCGTGCAGCTTTGGGAGCGAGATCTTGTCGGCGATGTAAGACGCGGCGACATCCTGGAACTTCTCCATCCAGGGGCCCGCGACGTTGTGCTGCTTGCCGAGCTCGTGGACGATCTTCAAATGGGGGTACTCCTGGGCCCACATGACCATGCAGTCGAAGAATGGGAACCAGTTCGACGCCTTGACATCTGCCAACAAGGTGTCCTTCGTCATGGAGATCTCAACGTCGCCGCATGCGTCGCAGCAGCCGGCGCGGTCGTAGCGAGGGCCCCGCCACTGCCAGCGCGCCGCGCGGTCAGACGTCCCAGACTTGACCTTCATGGTGAACTCGGCGCCGCACTCTGGGCAGCAGTACTCATCGGGAACCACGCCGAAGTGCTGGGCAAAGACCATCAGCGGCGTCGCGGGGTCCTGTGGATACGGCGACATATCCTCGATGTTGGCGTACTTGACTACGGCGAGAAACCCCTCCCTCGTGTCGAAGGCCGATGCGTCGAGCGCCTTCTTGAAGCTCTTGATGTTGTTGTACGTGTGCGCCATGCCTGCCATCGCCGCAAGCGCCCCCGATATGCGGTCTGCCGATGCGCCCTCGAGCCAAAACAGCTGCGGTGCAAGCGAAGCGATGGGTGAAGGAACTGTGGCTGCGCGGTTGGGCTATGGTTGGCTAGCGGCGAGCCGCGGAGGCAATGACGCATGGGTGCCCGCGCGCGCGATGCCCATTCTTGCAACGTGCGCTGGTTTCAACCAATCGGCTCAAATGAATCTAAGGACGTGTATGCATCGAGAAGAAAACGATATATGTGCACGGCTATGAAGCGGCGCCAGCGGCGCGCGCCCCCTCGGCGGCGCGCGCCCCGTCATTGCCCGAGCCGAAAGCGGCAACACTGCCCGCGCATGGGCACCCCGCTCGCAGAACACCTCACTCCTCCATGGCGCCGCCCTGGCCCGCGGCGTCCTCTGCTGCCTGATTGCGGGCTTCCTCCGCTAGCTGGCGCTCACGTTCTTCCTCCAAGTCTAAGTGGCGCTCGAGCTCGGCCTGCAAGTCGAAGTCGTCGCCCGCCGTGTCAGGGCGCTGTCGGGGCGGAGTGGTGAGGTCTATCTGCGCGCCAGAGAGCACCTGGTTCTGGTTGAAGAACGCCTGCTGGATCTGCTCGTAGATCGCGGCCTGCTCAGCCAAGTCCACGTCGCTGAGCTCCCCGCCGCGCCCGAAGGGAGCCCTGGCGCCCGTCGCGAGGCGCTTGCGGGGAGGCGACATGAGGTCCACCAACGCGCCGCTGTCCCTCTTGTTGTCCTCGAAGAATTGATCCTGCATCGCGGCGTAGATCGCCTGCTGCTCGGCCGCATCCACGTTGCTCAGCTCGCCAGCGCACCCCGTGCCAGCGACCGCAGATGGCCCTGACAAGCCGCTCGAAGAAGCCGCGCCACTGCCTGAACCGCCCACTGGCGGGGGCACGACCTCTGGCTGGACGCTGTGCGCGGGCTGCCCGAAGAGCGAGGCACCGCGGGTGATCGACGCGGTGGGCACGTCCTCGCCGCGCATCAGGCGCTTCGCGAAATTCAGAGACCATTCTGATTTCCCCTTGAAGTCGGTCGGGTAGTTGTTCGGCGAAGTTGGGTCGTCTTTGTACCTGCCGAAGCACGCGCGCGCCTCGGGCGAGTAATTGAAGAGGTCAGGCTTCGTCTTCTTGGTGTATGTGAAGAAGGGCACGACTCCGTCTTCTGGGATCTCATCGGATGCTAGGCGGAAATACACGCGCGCGTCCGTGGTCACGACGACGTGGGTCCTCCCGAGCAAGGCTTTCATGTCCTCTTCCTCTGTGGCCTGCTTCAGGGAGGGCGCGATGAGATTCATGAACTGCTTGAGCGGAATCTCCATTGCTTGCCCCTGGCGCCAAGCTGCCACCAACCTTTTCTCCAATACATTATCGTAGCTGTTGTTCACTGCCTGGCGGGGCGCCCCTGGGGCGAACGTGCTGGACCCCCACCTCGCCCACAAGGTGGAGTCCTCCTCGCTCGGGTTAAGGAACGCCTTCAACACGGACGCGTCCTGCTTGCGCAAGTCCCCGTCGTCGAACACCGCGGGCAGCACCCTCTCCACGTGCTCGCCCTTGAAGAAATCAAAGTGCTTGGCGGTGACAATGGAAGGCTCGGGGGCGCCCTCCCCATCATCGCCCTCAAGGGCGTCGATCTCCAGCATGGACATCAAGAACGCAAGGGTCTTTGACGCAGTCGACTTCCCCACTCTGGTCTTGCCGATCCAGAGCACGCCGTTGCGGCGAAGCGTTGGCAGGATCTTCACGAGCACCTCGTTGATGAACCACGGCTCGAAGTCCTTCAGCGTGAGCACCCAGACAGTGAGGCGCTTGGCATTGATGCGCCCGCTCGCATGGTTCCGCAACGCCTGGATCACGCGGGACTCCTCCCAGCCGTAAATTTTCGACTGCGGGTCGTTGACCTCCTGGGGGGGGGGCGGGGAAACAACGGCACCGCTTAGCTAGCCGCAACCGCTCGGCGGCCAAAGCGCCTGCGCGACCGAGGAGGGTGTCGGGGGGAAGAGGGTAGCAAAGGGGCTAGCCAAATGGCGCCGTTTTCCCCCGCCGAACCGTCCTTGTCCGCGAACTCCATGAACTGGTTGCGGTTGTTGCTCTTCGGGCCCTTCTTCTCGATGCATCGGTACCCCTCGAGTTTCTTATCCCACTCGGTCGAGCGCTTGGCAGGCTTCGCCGCGGCTGTCAGCGTGGAGAAGCGAACCTGTAAGCCGCCAAGTTTCTCCAGGAGGTAACAGATCGCATTGCGGCCTGCCCTATACTGGTTCCCATACTGGTACACGACGCCTGTGCCATGACACATTGGCTCGCAGCTTGCCATCTTCAAGAACTGGCCCTTCAAGTCAACGTCTTTGAAGATGTGCACCTTACCCTCCCCAGCGCCGACGACGAAAATCTACATGACGTATGTCCCGCCAGGTTGGCTCTCGAGGTTGAAAGGCGGAGGGAGGCCGCTAAAATTGGACTTCGTCGCAAGGTCCTTGACCGCGTCCAAGCGGCACGGTTGCCCTCGTGCGTCCTTCCACCCCGTGAGGACACCGACTGCTTTCCCGTCGGGGCCCTGGATCTCCCCGTAGTCCTGGTTCATCAACAGGTCCCCAAAGTAGGCGATCTTCGTGCCCGCGTGGACGTTCATGGGCGCAGCAGGAAGGTCGCGATTTTCGACACCCCCTCTTGCCCGACGTGGCCGTGCGGGAGGCCAGCGTGGAAGTGGGGCTTCATGCCGTCGGCGCGTGCGAGAGCTTCGCCGAAGTTGATGCTTTCGTCCCCAACTGCGCCCCCAAGAGTCTCGCGGAGGGTCTTGGGGAGGATCGCGTTCTCCCTCGCCATGGCAGTCGCGAAAGCGAAGCGTAGGCGCGACAGGCGCGTGCGATGAAACAGCTTGAGCCGATCGAGACGCGGGAAGTCTGACAAAGCAGGTTCGCGACCGTTTCGGCGCAACCCTTCTCTGAGCCAAAACACCAGCAGTGTGAAGGCGAACGCTTGTAATGATTGATCAATAACAATCCCATGTTACCTTGCTGGGTTTGTCTTGGTTTCATTTATGGGTGTAATCCAGACCCCTCTCGTGGGCCTCTTGTGCGTCCTCTCCTAAGTGCCCCCCCTGGGCCCTTCCTGGGTGATGATGATGATTTTGTTCCGTCCTCTCGGGTTCCGAAAGCGGTTGCTGCTCAAAGCTGGTGGTTGCGCTCTCTCTCTCTCTCTCTCTCTCTCTCTCTCTCTCTCTCTCTCTGTCTCTCTCCCTCTCTCCGGCCCTCTCAGTCCGGGTCCGAAGAGGAGGAGGACCTCCCCATCATCGGGGACGTAGACGAGGAAGAGCCCGAGGAAGAGGAGGAGCTGCTGGACTTCTTGGCGGGGCGCTTCTTGATGATCTTTTTCCCCTTTGCCGCCCTCAACCTGCTCCTGCGCTGCGACTCCTTGTTCCTCCTCTTTTTCTCCTCCACACTCATCGGCTTGCGAGTGCGCGCCATCGCGGGCGGGGCCTGCTTGGTGGTCAAGCGCCGAAACGACGGAAGTTTCCAACCGCTATTGCTCCTGATTTGCTCGATGGTCCGTTGCTTCTTCGTCGAGGCCTCCGCCTCCTGCTCCATAGCAGGCTGCTTCTTCGTCGAGGCCTCCGCCTCCTGCTCCATAGCAGGCCCGCGGGGCATAGCTAAGCAATGAAAGTGGTATGGAGAGATTGAGCCTGCAAACAGCTACGGACATGACGAGGATGGCGGTGATGACGAGTACGGCGTTCACGTGCTGCCGATGACGATGCTGCTGACGAGGGTCGTTTTCAAGAGAATGCCGATGACGATGATGATGACAACTATGCTTTTCAAGATGCTGTCGATGACGATGCTGATGACGTGCATCAGTCCCAAGATGCTGTCGATGACGATGCTGATGACGAGCATTGTTTTCAAGAGAGTGCCGATGACGATGATGATGACAACTATCCTTTCCAAGATGCTGTCGATGACGATGCTGATGACGTGCATCAGTCCCAATATGCTGTCGATGACGATGCTGATGACGAGCATCGTTTTCAAGAGAGTGCCGATGACGATGATGATGACAACTATCCTTTCCAAGATGCTGTCGATGACGATGCTGATGACGTGCATCAGTCCCAAGATGCTGTCGATGACGATGCTGATGACGAGCATCGTTTTCAAGACATTGCCGATGACGATGATGATGACAACTATCCTTTCCAAGATGCTGTCGATGACGATGCTGATGACGTGCATCGTTTTCAAGAGAGTGCCGATGACGATGCTGATGACGAGCATTGTTTTCAAGAGAGTGCCGATGACGATGATAATGACAAATATGCTTTCCAAGATGCTTTGGATGACGATGCTGATGAAATGCATCAGTTTCAAGATGCTGTCGATGACGATGCTGACGACGATGCTCATGACAAGCACGATGATCAAAATTGAGTGGAAAAACTCTTGAGGAGCTGCGCCTCGCCGAGAACGTTCCGGAGGCCCGACCTAAGACCCGAAAGTGATGCGATGGTGGACGACAAGGCGGAGGAGGAGGGAGATGCAGGAGGGGCAAGAGGGCGGCTTTCGATGACGATGGTGATGACGTGGAGGAGGAGGGGGAGGAGGAGGGGGTGACGAGAAGGACCAGGGGGAGGGGAAAAGGAGAATCTGGGGGGGGGTCGGTGTCGAGGAGGACGACGAGGACGACGAGAGCAAGAGACCATTGGGAAAACAAAAAAAAACAAAGAAACAACAAAAAAACAAAAAACAATAAAAACAAACAAAGCAATAAAAACAATGTTTCGCAAGGATTCGCCTCGCTGTCCGTATTCTCCCAGAACATTGCTTTTATTGTTTTTTTGCTTTTATTGTTTTTTTGTTTTTTTGTTTTGCTTTTTTTGCTTTTTTGTTTTTTTTGGTTTTCCCAATGGTCTCTTGCTCTCTGGGGAAGCCGAGAGAACAAAGGAAGGAGGGGGAGGAGGAGGAACAGGAGGAGGAGGAGGAGGAGGAGGAGGAGGAGGAGGAGGAGGAAAAGAGTGGAGAAGAGGAGTGCAGCAACAAGAGCGGTTCCTTTTCGACCCCTTTGAAAGCCGAGAGCCCGCCAGGCTCATCCAGTCTGGAGCTGGAGGAGGAGGGGGGGAAGAGGGAAGCGGAAGGAAGGGAGAGAGAGAGAGAGACGGAAAATGAAGGAGAAAGGGGGAGGAGGAAGAGAGAGGAGGTGAGAGAGAGGCTTTCTGTATAAAATCTGCAAATCGCGGGGGTCCGAAACCGAACCGAAACGTGCCGTCGCCGACCCGTCGCCGCCTCGTCGCGGCCTGTGGTCTGGGCCGGTGTGGCGGTGTGGTGGCTATGTTGTCGGCGTCGCCGCCCCGTCGCCGCCCTGGCAGGGCCTTGCATAAGTACATTACGTTGATCGCACCACACGCATCGCACCACATATATTCCCCTTTCAAACAATTAGCCATTAGCCTGGCGACGGACCCAACCATATGCAGCTGCGAGTATCGCAGGATATGCCCCTCTCATCACACGTAGCGCGCCGCGAGAAGGATGGAGCACGGGTCAACGCGGATGAGAGCCCCGAAACGTGCGTGGGATGTGCCGAATTAAGCGGGGGACGCATGCGGGCGCTGCCATTGAGGCCGTCGTCCAGCGTTCCCTACGGGGCCACGAAGCGTGTCAGGGGTGTGCCTAAATCGTGCGAACCTTGCCACTGGGGCCTTCGGTGGAGCTCCCTACGGGGCCACGGTCCTCGTGAGGGGTGCGCCGAAATGGCCCGTGGCCGCCATGCGAACCCTGCCACTGGGGCCTTCGGTGGAGCTCCCTACGGGGCCACGATCCTCGTGAGGGGTGCGCCGAAATGGCCCGTGGCCGCCGAGCGAACCCTGCCACTGGGGCCTTCGGTGGAGCTCCCTACGGGGCCACGGTCCTCGTGAGGGGTGCGCCGAGATGGCCCGAGGCCGCCATGCGAACCTTACCGCTTGGGCCTTTGGTGGAGCTCCCTGCGGGGCCGCGATCCTCGTGAGGGGTGTGCTGAAATGAACCCTGCCACTGGGGCCTTGAGTGGAGCTCTCTGTTGGGCCGCGATCCTCGTGAGGGGTGTGCCAGAATCGCTCGAGGCCGCCGAGCGAACCCTGCCACTGGGGCCTGCGATGTAGCCCCCTACAGGGCCACGACCCTTGTGAGGGGTGTGCTGATATCGCCCGAGGCCGCCACGCGAACCCCGCCACTGGGGCCTTCGGTGGAGCTCCCTTCCTTCTGGGGCCACGATCCTCGTGAGAGGTGTGCGGAGTGGCCCGAGGCCGCCATGTTGTGGCCTTCGATGGCGCTCCACAGGAGGCCACGATCCTCGTGAGGGGTGCGCCGAGGTGGCCCGAGGCCGCCATGCGAACCTTACCACTGGGGCCTTCGGTGGAGCTCCCTGCGGGGCCGCGATCCTCGTAAGGGGTGTGCCAAAATCGCCCGATGCCGCCACGCGAACCCTGCCACTGGGGCCTTCGTTGTGGGGCCACGATCCTCGTGAGAAGTGTGCCGAGATGGCCCGAGGCCGCCGTGCGAGCCCTGCCACTGGGGCCTTCGGTGGAGCTCCTTATGGAGCCATGAAGCGCGCGAGGGGTGTAGGGAACTTGACATGCGGAGGGCGGAGGCACGGATGTGAGGAGGGAGGAGGCGCGAGGTCAGAGGCGGGAGGAGAACGCGGGGCACAGTATTCAGAACGAGGACCCAATACCACAGGATGGTTTGGACAAACAATTAGGCTGTACCCCCCCATTGGACTATTCGCCCGCCTTCTTGCATGGCAATATACATGTGATTCTGGCACATCGTCCATCTTAAATATGAAGGCGTGCCGTCCCAGCCAGGCCAGTATCGACATCCCCCACCATTCTCTGCAAGAAATACTAAGCGCGCACTCGTTGACCACAAATCATGCATTTGGGGGCGAAGTGCACACGCGCGCGTCTCGCGCGCGCGCATGCCGACATTTTTCAAACACCTGAGGTTTCGTAGGGATGTCAATGTCGGTTTGGGGTCCACGACGCTGGTTAATTGTCTCTCAAGGTCGACGTTTTTGTATGTTTATTGTTCTCCCGCCCTGGGGGTGGTTTTTGTTCAGTTTGGGGGTTCTCGTTCGCGCCGCTTTCGGTTCGGCTCCGTGTTTTGAACGTTTTTTTTGGGGGGGGGGGGAGGGGGCTATCGTGTTCTTATGTTTCCATCCCCCTTTGGTTGGCCGGACACCGTTTTGCTTTTTGCCGAAAACCGACAATTCGAAAACGACAACAAACGCCCCCAGCGTTTTTCATGC